AGACGTACTTAAGTTTAGGGCAAGATGATATAAAAGTCTTAGGTAAGTATATCCCGCTGCAACTGGCAACTCATTTTAAATAATTATTGTTGTGGGATTTCTGCAGTATCACAAATATAAAGGCGGTGGTACCGATTATTTTTCCTATACACTTATCTTTTGACCTAGTGACGGGACGAACAAGTCGTGTGGCTGGTGTTAAGCAACATGCCTGTCCATAGCAATTGCAATGCCACTCAGATTTTAAATCGCAAAGGTCTGAGGGACACTACCACTGCGCCTGTCACCCTCAAACATTAGTTGTTAAGTCCCATATGCCAGTAATTTCACCTGCACCGTTACCCTTCAAAATCAGAACGCAGATTACTGTGCTCACATTAATGCTTGGCCGCTGAAATATGTAACGTGACAGTACTTCTTAGGACGAACTCTTTCACAAGGAGCTCTACTGCTACATTTTTACAATTTCGGTGGTCACTACCTATACAATTGTGCTTTTTATACTAGTTTCAAATTTCATGCATATCGGTCGAGGAATAGTCGAGTAATTTCATTCGAAGTGCAATCTGATTATATGCCAAGAAAGCTTCGCTCGCTTCGCTTGCTTCGCTCGTTACGCTTCGATGAAGATTATATTTACGTAACGTCCACATTTAGGAACGTGTTCGACATAAATTTCAAACGCACACGTAAACGATTTACTTGTTTTTGCATGGTGTCTGCAACTCGTGTTAATGCCAAGTAATAAAATGTAAAGAAGATATTTCTTGTCACTGTTCAGTGCAACAGGAAACGACGATGTCTTTAAACTTACATTAAACTCTATGACTCACACATACAAAACACTGAAATGTAACAGTATACAACTAAATAAGTGAAAACAATGTCGATAAACGAGAATGACAAGTTTCATCTCGTAAATAAAGGAAGCTTTTTATAGGTACGTGCAGTAGCTTGTTATTTATTTATACAAGCATACAATATAGACTAAAGTCATTACTTATATATAATGTAAATTTACGTGGGAAGTTCAGACAGTTGGTCACAAACATGTATAGAAGTAAGTACTAATTAATAAATGTTAACATCTATCAAACAATATTTAAATATTTGAAACAATAAGTACTAAAATAGAAATGTTAATCTTAGTACAAACGCATACTTAACATTAATTTCAATATACATTTTATGTCTGTAATGAGTGAGCAAATAACACTGTTAAATATTTATTTATTGAAGTTTCTGAACTCAAAGCATTATAATATAGTGATAATTTGTGCTGCCAGAAATGTGACTGTATACATGAAAGAGAAAAATATTGTTGCGTGTATAGTAAATTCTGTAGGTAAGAGAGGTAAAGGCCCATGCTTCAAAATTTTGGAATTTAGGTATAATCGTTACAAATATTGCTTTACAATGCTAAAAATCACGCAATGATACAAGACATGAAGTCCTGCCGTTGTTTGTTTTTATTTATACAACATATTTTATTTTACCTGAAGACAGATTTTAAATGCCTAATATAAATAATTGTTTGGCACTTAAGGTTCTTTACCTATCGCCAAATGTAAAAAATAATTCGGTGTAATAAAAATAATCGTAAAAGGAATGCATTTCCAATTTCGATTTTAATCAATATTGCACTTTCTTCATGATAAGGTTGATTTTTATAAAATATACAGATTTTTTGGAAACTAAAACACGCATTAATCTGATGATATACTTTGATAAAATCACGCAGCTTAGTAATTAGGGTCAGTAGCAGAGCAATCTGAAACTCTCATCATTCATTTCCCTTACGCAGAGGCGTGACATTTATTTCTTGCAACCTGTAGATACCCATCTAAATCTTTTGTATGTTACTGTACTACTTTAGCACTGAACTATTGAGGTAGATAATTAATATATTAAAATCAACCAACAGTTTGGGACTCGTCTTGAATGTTTGAACTTCCTGGCGAGGAAACTTCCGAAAACTAAGTGCATTGCATGCAGCAAGCATGCAATGCATGTAAGGGGTATTGCTGTCTGTGGAAAATGGTACGAATTTGTAGAGACTGAGCAATGTAGTCTGTATAAACGCGCAATTTACTCGCCGAGAAGCGCCACCGTGTAACCGGACCTTTACGAATTTTTAATCTCTCGTACATTATTTCCGCCACTCACGTTCCTATTTCTCTGTAATTGGCGGTTTACAAAGCTTGCGGGAACCGGTGAGAGCTGCCAAGCTCAGATATTAACCAACTTTCCTGGCTCGGGTTGTTTAAAATGTTTGGCCTAGTGAGTCTATGCCGCTGCTATAGACTCGGTTAAAGTTTTGGGTAGATTACGGCATAGCCTCACACCTAGCCAAACTGTTAAACGGTATTTTACAGCAACAGAAAAACAATGAAGATAGTGGTTCAGCTGACAAGGAGAACTAGTTCTATAAACTTAAGACACTTGGATTTTGTACCTTTTCAATCACAATACATTTCAGAATAAAATTACTACCAATCTACTTGCAACTACGTTACAAGTGACAAGAATCGTTTGCAACTTTGTCTGTAGAAAAATTTTTGTGTCATTAGTACAAAGTAAGTTTTCTAAAAATAATTATGTATAATTTAGTCTCAGTCACAATTTGAAAGTACCAAAAAGTTTATGCAAATACGTGAAATGTTCAGACTTATACAATTTCTTGGTTACGCATACCAATCTCAACTTCCTAGCACTATAAAATGACACTGAAGTTGATAAGGTATTGTAAAGAACTTCGCGGTAATCTACATCGCAACATCGGATACGTTTTAGGCCAGGCAACTCCACACATAAGAATAAATGATAAAGAATTTTATTATTAGTTGTAGATATCTAAATAAATAAATAAATATCCCTCAACACAAATTCTTTGGCGGCAGTAGGATTTATCATATTATATTATATCTTATATGGCGGTTTCTCCTAACATTCAAACCGGAATATAGCAGAGCTGCTTTGTTATAGAAATAAGTCAAACATTAATAGGTGTTTTAAATTTATGAAGCTGCTATTTACATCATAGGTAAGCAAATCACACTTGAAACCGCCACATTGATTAAATACTACTACGCATTCGTAAGGAAGATCCTTGTAGGAAGAATGAGTAAGAAACAAAGAAAACGGGGGGTTTCTCTTTGTAAATAGACAGTCGTTACGATAACTGTCTTGACAGTCATAAGTTACCTTCGCCTTTGATGTCAGCCATGTAATAAGCTCGTGCCGCATCAAGTACTTGTCGTTTCTACAGAAAAAAGAGGGATACTTTATTGTACGACCATACAGACATATAATGACTATGTATACAGCTGACACAGAAAAAATATACAGAGAAGCAGTGAACATGGAAATCGTCGTCACACGCCATTTGGGAGAGTGATGCGCCGATATACTATGTGTAAAGGTCCTCCCTTTCAGTAAAAATGTAGGATTTCGCTCGAGGGCCAAGGAAACCGGCGTTATATCAGCACTTCTGTATATTTCCTTTATTGTGTTGGAGAATTCGTAGAAAAAACATTTTTGTTCTGGAAGACTTTTTGCATTTACATTATACGATTATATAATGTATGATATTATAACTTCAAATTTACTTTACTTTAACTTTACTCGCTCGCACCTCAACAAAAAATAATCTATTCCACGATATTCCAGACATTTTGGGGAAAAACGCTCCGCTAGTTTGTTATTATTATTGATACAAAGATCGAACAAAAGCAAAAAAAATCCTTCGTTCTGACTGGATTCGAACCAGCGTCTGTTGCCTCAACGTGGCTACCGCTCTTACTCGTTATATCTCCTACTCAGTCTGTAGCTCAGTTTTCTCGAAGGATTTTTTCTTTGTGCTTGTTCGATCTTTGCATTAATAATAATAATAATAAATTTCATTCTAAGTTTAGTTTTACAGTAATAAAAACAGGAAGCTCCTTTTTAGCATAGCAATGCCTGTGTTCGGACACTCTGCCCTTCTACAGCCACATCTATAGTACAATTAATTTAGAAACTTAATTATAGTATAAGC